CACCCCACCCCCACTAACTCCTCGTGGTCCCAGCAGCCACGGGGACCCAGCACCCCTCAGACGGAGCTCACCCAGCACGAAGGGGATGGGGATGAGCTGGATGTAGCTGTCGCAATACAGAGCCAGCTTCTCAAACATCACCTGCCGCTCCTCCGTGAGGGCCGTCCTGGGGGAGGGTGCGGGAAGTTGTGTAGACCCTGGAGGGGATGGCAGAGACCGGCCCGGCTCCGGCCAGGCTGGGGCAGGAGCGTGGCTGCCTCTGGTGCCCCGCAGCCTCCCTGCCCCGCACTGGCTGCCCAGGGCCCTTCCTGTGGCCTGAGCCAGGTCCCACTTGCCCTCTGGTAGCCCTGAACCCCAACGGAGCTCCATGGCCAAAGGAGGTTCCCCAGGGAGGTTTCTCTGAGGTGCAGGAAGGAAAGTCAGGCTGAAGGGGTCAGTTTTTAGGGACCCCCCTCCACCACGTGCTCTGCCAATCCTGCCATTTTCTGGGAGCCCTTTTTTTTTNTCAGAGAGGGGAAAAGAGAGGGATGGAAACACCAATGATGAGAGAATCATTGATCGGCTGCAGCCCGCAACCTGGGCATTTGCCCTGACAGGGAATCGAACCCTGATCGCCTGGATCCTAGGTCGATGCTTAACCACTGAGCTACGCCCAGCTGGGCTCTGGGAGCCCTTTTAAAGGATCCAAAGGACAGTTGTGTTTGAAGTAGATTGAAACTAAGTGTGTTTGGCCGGTAGGGATGAGTAGGCAGAGCACAGCGGGTTTTTAGGGTAGTGAAATTATGCTTTACAACACTTTAATGGTGGGTACAGGTCATTACCAGAGGATGTACAAGGCCAGGGTGAACCCTAATGTAAACTGTAAAATGGACTTTGGGTAATGATGGTGTGTCCTTGTGGGTTTGTCTGTTATAACAAATGTACCACTCTGCTAAGGGATCCTGATAGTGGGAGAGGCTCTGTGTGTGTGTGTGTGGAGAGGGGGGTTATATGGGAACTCTGTACCTTGGGCTCAATTCGACTATGAAAAACAGCTCTAAAAAATAAAGCCTAATTAAAAAAAGAGGATTATATTGGTGCCCTAGTAACAACCAAGGAAAATCAATGTGCTTTGTGATTAGTATTCCCACTATGAACTCAAGAATTTTATGTATCAGGTATTTTCAATCCATTCAGTCATTAATGCGTTTTCCATTTAAAATGCTATCATGTATTCTGTGATTATATCTGGCCTATATTATTTTAAATAAACATTTTTATTGGGCAGTAAAAAAGGTACAGTCTGGACCTATAAGCCTGTGTGGGATTCAGGAAAACAGGCTGGCTGAGTGGGACCAGGTAAGGCCTGGGTTCCAGGGCCCTCCCTGGGCTGGAGGAATGGGGTCTAAGATGCTTCCAACCAGTCTGCCTCCTTTTCTCTCCTCCCCAGCCCCCAGGCCCAGCCCCCGGCCCCCAGGGCTGGGCCACAAGCTCAGCTGAGCCTTGTAGGTCTCTGGTGCATGGGCCCCCTACGTGGCTTGGAGGTCTCCTAGGAGCTCCAAGCCCCAGCTGCACCGCTCCCAGGCCACACCTCAGCCCCTCTCTCTACCTGTACCTATAAATGAAGCGGATGGTGTAGTAGCTGAGCAGGAAGATGAGGAACTCGCTGTAGAGCAGCTTGTAGATGCTGCCTCGCCAGCACAGCAGCAGGCGAGAGAAGGAGCCTAAGCGGGCATTAGCCACCTGGCTTGAGTAGGTGACGGTCATGGTCAGGCACTGGGCTGTAGCAGGTGGACAGAGAGGGACACTGATGGGGGCGCAGGATGGAGCAGGGGCCTTGGTCAGAGCCTGTCTGGGGCTCTTGTGTGACCTTAGCCAGGATGCTTCCCTGCTCTGATCCTCAGCTCTTTCTTCAGGACACCGAGATGCGGATGAAGTGGTCTCTAAGGCCCTTGCCCCTCTCACTGCCTGTGTGAGGCAGGAAGGGAACCCAGAGGCTGCCCATGATCTTGGCGAGGAAGACATAGATAGGTCTGTGCCCTTAAATTGTACGACAGGGACGATGACAACAGTGCACACACTGGGCTCAGACCTCTATTCTGAGCCCATCTTTTCTGTAAGCTCCCTGAGCTCCCTCAGCCACCCTGGAGAAAGAAGGGGTCAGTCTTGTCCACAGTCCTATCCCCAGTGCCCAGAACAGAGCCTGGCTGGCAGAGATGTTCAAATAATGTTTACCGAATGGTGGTCCCAGGGCCTTTCCACCTCCTTATCCTCTTGCCTGGGGGATGCTCTCTCTGATCGAACTGTATGGCTCCTTCCCACTTCAGGTCACCTCTCCAGAAAGAATGTCCCCAGCCACCCTACCTGGAAATAGCATCTCAGTGCCACCCACACTTTCTATCCCCTCACCTCAATCTTTCTACACAGCACTTAATCATGTTATACTTGAAATTATAGTTTGCACACTATCTGCTTGTTTATTGCCTATTCTTTCCTTAGAATGGAGGCTCCTGTTGTGTCCTCAAAGGAGGCGCTCAGTAAAAATATATTGAAGCAATGATTGATGCTCCCCCCTCCCCCATGTGCTCTGATGCAGCCTCTCCGGCTGTGTCTCTGTGCCTGGTGCATACTAAGCTCATTCCCACCTCAGTGCCTTTGCACAGACGCACCGGTGCCCACACCCCTGCACGCATGTTGCCTGTTTGTATACATCACACACACATGCTGGGACAGTCATCCACCTCAAAGGCCCTCAAAGCCTCAGCCCAGCCCACCTGGGCAACCCCTACTCACAGGCTGGGCTCCAGACTGGTCATGCGATCACACAGAAGGTCTGGCCACTGGACTGGTGGGACTCTCTAGGGTCCTTTGGCCAGTGCCCCTAAGTGCCAACACTTAGGGGTTGGCACTGCCCATGTGGGTGCTAGGCGGTCACTTGACTCCCTAAGCCAGCACCTCCACAAAGGAGCCCTTGTGTTGGTTCCTCCCCATAATCTGTCTGTAAACAGCAGTCAGCACAGCCTCCCAGGACCCCTCTAATTCCTTCCTGGGGGAGGAGGGAACATGGGGCTGAGAGCAGGGCTGAAATTTCCGGCAACCCCCCTCCAACATGGGCCCTGCCTTTGCTGCTGTCTTCTTGGGGCCCTAAATTCCGGAGATTGAGGAATGCATTTCTGACCCCTGAGGTCTTGCAGGAAGTGCTGTGGGGAGGAGGGCCGGAGCTGTCCGCAGAGGGGGGCCTCTGCCAGGAAGGCCCTGTGGGGCTTTGGCAACATCGTGAGCCACACTCAGAAGTCGGGCTCTGGCACCTGTGTGCTATGACCCTGGGTGGGCCTCTGCTCCCCTCTAGGCCTCAGTGTCCCTATCTGCAAAGGATGGTGTTTCTTCAGAATTCCATCACCTCAGTAAGAGGGACAGAATTTTGTGTATACCCAGGAGGAGCTCTGATTGGCTGCTGGTGACATCAGCTATTCGGGCTGTGACTGGCTGGCAAGTAAGAGTTAGGATGCTTGGGAGCTAGGGAAGGAGAAAGGGGGCAGGGAGCTGCTGTGTGCGGATGACACAGCAACTCTGGTGCTTCCAGCCAGCCCATGCGAAATGGGAGTATGTACCCAGGTCCCCAAGGACAGCCGGCTGGCTCCATACATTTTAATGCATCAATCCAAACTCGAGGGCCCTCCTGAGCCACTGAAAGTGATGCGTGTCTAGGACACGTTCCTCTTGAATTAAGGGAAAGCAAAACAGTGGTGGCGCTTGGTCTTCAGTGGCCGCAGGAATGGCTGGGAGTAGTTATTAAATGTGAGTCTTCTCAGGATCTTTCTGCAGTCTGCTTCGGCGGCCTAGGGGTGCTACATTTCTAACACGCATGGTGGGCTTATGATGCCAGTGGTCTTCGTACCACACTCCCAGGAGCCCTGATTTGCAATCTGACCTTGAGCCTTGAAATGAATCCACCACCCCCTTCCTCCCTCTCTCTGACATACTCCTGAGTGTTAACCTGCTGAGACTGCAGGTGACTTTGGTGCGCAGCATTTTTGCCTCTATAATTCAATGCCTAGAAAAAGTTATAATTATTTCACAATGGCCTTGGTTGTTTGTTTTTTTTTTCCTATTCCTGACAAACAATTATGAAGGAGTCTCTTCAGAGATTGGAGACAGCCCTGGAGGAGTGTTTTTCGCACGCCTGCTTCCCTTGCTGTGGGAAACACCTTCCCCATCAGGGAAAGGAAGGTTCACTTGAACCTCAGTCACCTCATCTGCAAAATGGGACACCACCACCTACCTCAGCAGCCGGTGAGAAACGTTTTAGTCAACTCTCCACACCACTGACTCTCATGCCCGGCTGCCTGTTAACTTTCCCTGGGCCACCTGCAAACCCAGGGTGCCTCTGCCCCACCCCTCCAGACTCCGTTCACCTGGACAGGGTCCAGGTGCTGGAGTTTTTTCAAGTTTCCCAGGCGAGTCTACAGGACGGTCTGGGTTGAGAACCGCTGCTGTAAGGGAGTATTTCCCTACCTTGTATTCCCTCTTCCCCCACCAACACATGAGCTTTCCTTTTAGCAGATGATTAATAAATACGTATTTTAGTTAAAATTGAAACATGTGCCTGGCACCGAAAGGCTCACTCTGCATTGGTCAAAGGAATAAATGAAACCCAGGCCTTTGCGGGGTCAGGGTTTTGCCTCCCGATGGTGGCCACTAGAGGGCACCCTAGACTTGACTGGTCTGCTGCTTAGAATCTGTGTGGACCCTGGACCTGGGCTCCTTCATCTCCTTGACCCTGACCAGCAGCTATAGAGCCATGAGAGGAGCTGGGAGACACTGGAGTCCTCCCTTCCTTTCTCCTGAACTGCGGGTTCCTTTACAATATCCCCAAAGTCTCACCAGGACCAGCTAATGGTGCTGCCCCAGGCCCTCTTCCCGTCCCAGATGACCCAGGCTATCCCCAGAAACAACCTTGGGCAGCTAAGTGCTCCTGGCACCACACCAATGCTAAGACAGGCACACTCCAGGCACAGGTTGTGACATCTCCTACTGGGTCTCAGCCACAAAAATGTTCCCAGCCAGCCAGGGGCAGCTTGGGCACACAGAAAAGCCACAACAAGCATTGACTGACCCAAGTCACGCTTGAACAAAGGGCCCCAGGATTGACCCCTTCCAGGAAGGGGCTCAGTGCAGTCAGAGTCAGCCTTTCTGCTTTCCATTGGCAAAGTAGTCATTCACCAGACCATTTCTGATGCCAAAACTGAGACTATCTTGATTCCCACCTCGAAGAATTCATAGTCAATTTATCCAAAGAATTCCAAAACACTAATTAGAAAAATTACATGCATTGCTATGTTCATTGCAGCATTATTGACAATAGCCAAGACATGGAAGCAACCTAAACGTGCATTGATAGACGAATGAATGAAAAAGATGTGGCACATATATACAATGGAATATTATTACTCAGCTGTAAAACCATTTGCAACAACATGGATGGACTTGGAGGGTATTATGCTAAATAAAATGTCAGACAGAAAGACAAATACCATATGATTTCACTTATATGTGGAGTCTAAAAAAAAAAACAACAAAAAAACAAAACAGAAACAAATTCATAGATACAGAGAACAAACTGATGGTTGCCAGATGGGACGGGGGTTGGGGGAAAAAGGGAACTGGATTAAGATGTACACACTGGTAGTTATAAAACAGCCACAGGGATGTAAAGTACAGCCTGGGGAATAGAGTCAGGAACAGTGTAATAACTATGATGGCACCAGGTGGGTACTAGACCTACAGCGGTCACTTTGGAAGGTATATAAATGTCTGATCACTGTGCGGCATGGAAGAGACATCACTGCAGCAGAGCCTGTGCTCTCGAGGCCCCTAGCAGAGAGCCATCCCCGGGGGGCAGGCAGAGCAGAGCTGGGCAGGTGGGTGGGGGTTCCAGAGGCAGAATGCTATGGCCTTCTCATCTAGGATCACCATGGCAACAGCATCATCACAGAGAGCGGCCACTGTGCCCTTCCAGGGCCTGCCTCAGCCAGGCAGGAAGAAGGGGACCCAGCTCGGCTGGGGGCAGTGGGCAGGGGGCTGTGGGGTGGGCCAGCCAGGCCTGGATGCTGCCTCCAGGCTCTACATAGGGCACCTGCCAGCCCACACCCCTCTCTTGGGGCAAACACAGAGCAAACAGGGCAGAAGCCAAGAAAGAAAAAGAAGGGCTTGGCACAGCTGGACAGGGGAGGGAAGGGATACTGCCAGCCTGGGGCCTGAAAGTAAGACAGACACCTCTGCCCTCACCCTTGAAGGGCTAGGTAGACTCAACATTCAGAGAGATGAACACGTAAGCTTTGGCTCCTGCATAAGGACCCAGGGACAAGAAGAGGCAGGGAGAGGCTGGGACACGCCTGGGTCCAGCTTCACTAAGCCCGGTCCCACCAATGACAACGGAATAGCATGGAATAGGCCAGAGCCAGTCCTACCAGAGACGCAAGGCAAGAGGATTCACCACAGCCCCGGGGAGAACTCGGATCTCTGAGCTGCCCTGTCCCCATGGACTCTGCCCTGCTGAGGCCAGCCAGGTGAGGCATAGACTCCTTCCACCTCCC